TTTATAAGAAAAAAATGGGGTTAAAGTAAAATAAGGTAAGGTATATGTTGGGGAAATAGGGGAATTTTGGGAAAAGTTTTGAGAGTTTGGGAATTGTTTAAGGGTGGGAGTGTGAATGGGGGGTTTTTGGGGGGTTTGATTTTAATTGGGGAAATTTTTAAATTTTAAAGGAAAATTTTGGAAAATTTGGGGAGAGGGAAGGTTGGTTTGGTTTTTTTTGGGAAAGGGGGGTTTTTGGGTTTGGGGGGGGGAAAGTGTCACCCCTTTTAAAAGGGTTTTTTTGGGTTTTGGTTTTTTTGGGATTTAAGATAAAAAAGGAAGGTTATTTGGGGAATTTGGGAATAGTTTTTGGGAAAGGTTTTTTGGGGGGATTTTTTGGGTGGTTAGTTAGTAAAAATTTTTTTAAATAAAGGTAATTGGGAAAAGGGAAAACCCCTTTTTCCCCACGAGGGCAGAAAAGAACCAGGCGCCCCCTCTAAAACCCCTCCCTGGACCCATCCGGATGGATCTTGGTAAATTTTCAGCTAAGTTTAAAAACAAAAAGGGGGGGATTTTTTAAAAAAATTTTTTTTTGGACAGAGGCCCCTTTTTGGGGTATTTATAAAAAAAAAAGGGTTTAAATATTAGGGAAGTTTAGAAAAAAAGGGGGTTGGAACCAAAATTGTAATAATATTGAATTGGGATTTAAGTAAAAAGGGGGGTTTTAAAAAAAAAAAAAAAAAAAAAAAAAAAAAAAAAAAGGGAAAAAAAGGGGGGGAAGAAAAAAGATTTGGTTTAAGGGAAGGGGGAGGGGGGGAAAAGGGGAAAAAGGGAAAAGGGGAAAAATTTGGGGTGGGAAGAAAGAGGGAGGGGGGAGGGGGGAAGAGTGAGGGAGGGGGAAAGGAAGGGTTTTGGAGGGGAGAAAGGTGAAGAAGGGGAAAGGGGAACGGGGGGGGGGAGGAAAACGGGAGGGGGGGAAGGGGGGGGGGGGGTTTTTGGGGGGGGGGGGGTGGGGGAAAAAAAGGGGGGGGAGAAAGAGTAAAGGAAAGGGAAAAGTGAGGTTGGGGGGGGGGGAGGAAGAGAGAGAGAAAGTGGAAGGGGAAAAAGGGAGGAGAAAAATTTTGGGGGAGGAAAAAAGGAAGAAAGAAAGGGGGAGAAGAAAAGAGAGAAAAAAAGAGAGAAAAAGAAAAGAGAAGAGAAAGAGAGAGAGAGGGGAAACGAGAGGAGAGAGAGAGAGGGGAAGGGGAGAGAGGAGAAAAGGAAAGAAAAAAGGAGAGAAGAGAGAAGAGGAGAGGGGGAGAGAGAGAGAGAGAGAGGGAGGGGAGAAAAAAGACAGGGGAAAAGAGGGGGGAAAAGGGGGAAAAAAGGGGAGAAAAGAAAAGGAAAAGGGGAGAAAAAAGAGGGGAAAGGGGGAAAGAGGGGGAAAAGAGAGAAAGGGGGAAAAAAATCGAGAGAGAAAAGAGAGAAAAAAAAAAACAAAAAAAAGAGAGAGGAAAAAAAGAGAGAGAGAAAGAGAAAAGGAAAGAGAGAGAAAGAGAGAAAAGAGAGAGAGAAAAAGAGAGGAAAAAGAAAAGAGAGAGAAAAGAAAAAAGAAAAAAAGAAAAGAGAAAAAAAAGAAAGAAAAGAGAGAGGAGAAAGAAAAGAGAGAAGAGGGGGAAAAGGGGAGAGAGAAAAAAGGGGGAGAGAGAGAAAAGGGGGGAGAGAGAGAAGAAGAGAAAAGAGAGAGAAAGAGGGGGAGAAAAAAGGGAAGAGAGGGGAAAAGAGAGAGGGGAAGAGAGAGAGGGGAGAGAGAAGGGGAAGAAAAGGGGAGAGAGAGAGAGAAAAGGAGAGAAGGGAAAAGGAGAGGAAAAGGAAAGAAGGAGAAAAAAGAAAACAGAAAAGAGAGAAAGGGGGAAAAAGAAAAAAAGAAGAGAGGGAGAGAGAAAAGAGAGAGAAAAAAAGACAGAGAGAAAGAAAAGAAAAGGAGAGAAAAGAAAAAGAGAGAAAGAAAAAGAGAAAAAAAGAGAGGGGAAAAAGGAGAAAAGGAAAAGAGAAAAAGAGAGAAAAAAGAGAGAGAGAGGGGAAGAGAGAGGGGGAGAGAGAGAGGGGGAGAGAAAAGGGAGAGAGAAAAAGAGGGGAGAGAGAAGGGGGGGAGAAAAAGAAAAAAAAGAGAAGAAAAAGGGGAGAGAGAAAAAGGAGAAAAAAGGAGAGAAAAAATAGAGAGAAAAAGGAAAAGAGAGAGAGAAAGAGAGAGAGAAAGAAAGAAGAAAAGAGAGAGAGAAAAGGGGGGGGGGAAAAAGAATGCATTTTTTTGGGAAAGAAAGGGTTTTTTGAAAACAGTTCCACACAAAAAATTAGTGCAAAAGTTGGACCTTTCCCAAGGGAAAAAAAAGGGGAAAGGCACTGAAAATAAAACCAGAGAATACCGACAAGAAGGAAACAGAAGTCATGGTACATGAAAAGGGTTTCAGTCTGGGCGCCTGTGACAATTTGGGGCCCCCGGGGTTGGGGTCCTAGGACTGGTGCTTTTTCCCGGTATATTTTAAATTGCCCATGATGGAAGGGATACACTCAGGGGTTTTCCCTGTTAAACAAACAATGGAAACTAATGAGGAGAATTCAATCAGACAAGGATCAGGGAGGACTAAAAAAAGGGACCTGGACAGGCCCGGATGCCCTAGTCCCCGCCTTTGCTCCAAAAGGGTTTTAAAACCCCCCCAAGTGGGAAAATAAAGGGGAAATTTGGGGGAAGGGGGAAAAAAGAAAGCAGACAGAGTACAAATTCCCAAGGACCAAAAAATTGCAAACCCTTTACTCAAGGAAAAGGATCTTGGGGGAAACAAATACCCAAGCATATCCCTAAGGCCCCACATCAACCAAAAAATTGCTGCCGCACATGGGCAACTACAAACCCAAAAATAGTATTCTGAAAAATCACAAGGAATCGTTCAGGACTTTGTACAAAGTGTACGTAACCCAACCAATATGCAGCACTAGTGTTTTGGGCCCCACACCTTCAAGCAAAAGTCAGGGAAAATTTGAGGGAAATGCAAAAATTTTTCAATGAGGGCTAGTCCCGGAGCTAAGGGGGGGTTTTTTAAAGGAGAGGTTCGGGGAAAATTGGGCCTGACGAAACTGGGGAAAGGGCAGGAGAAAAAAGGGGGGGGGGGGTTGGTAACGAATGAAATAATTTACAGGTGGACAGGGACTGGGTTTTTTGAGAGATGGGGGCACTTTCAACAAGGGGTTTCCCCAAAAAAAAGTTTAAGACTCAGAAAGAATCACAGGGGAAATTTGGAAGTATTTCTTTTAGTCACAGAGTTGTTTAGGAAGTGTAATTGCTGGAGATTTATTAGTGGATGCAGGGGTCCCTAAAAAAGCTTTAAAAAGAGGTTTTATAAAGCTCATGAAGCAGGGGGAGTTTGGGGCCCAGGTGACCCGTGAGAAGGTGGGGGGCAGGGGGTGTGACCCAAACCCGCAACCACAAATTAGGTGAGTACACACACACGCATGCGCCCAAAACAAGTTTAAGAGGGAAGGGGGCCCGGAGCTGTGACCCTCCCTGCAACCAACCCAACTGAGTACCAGGTACAAAGGGAAAGGAGGGCAAGAAAAAAGGGGAAAACATGCAATGGAACCCCGGGAACATGACAGGAAGAAACAAAAAGTGATGGTATTTTTACAAGGTGTCGGAAATTGGGTTTTTAAAACTGAGTGGGTTTTCCCTTTCCGGGGCAGTCCCCCAGGGCCGGTGCAATTTCCCTTTTACATGTGAAATTAAAACAACAGAAGGAAAAAATCCGAGGTGTGCCTGTTTTCAACAATGTGAAAAATTTAAAAAAGAGAAAAAAAAGCAAAATTTAGGAACGGAAAAACTACAAAGGGATTCTGGACAGGTTTAAAGCCTGTTCCAAACAATGGGTCCCCGGTTTAACCCAAAAAGTGCAAATTTAAAGAAGCTTAAAGGGAAAAGGGCCCTAGAAGACAGCAATGGAGGACCCGGCTCAAAGGGCAAAGGCTGCAAAACCCCACTCAAGGAGAAGGAAACTTGGAAATGTAGTCAGGCCCATAATTTGGGGTACGTTTGGGACCAGAAGGAACCCAACCCCGGAGCACTTCAAAAATTTTGAGAAAGTGCAAAGGTTTTTTTTTTTTTTTTTTTCAACAAGTATAGCCCAGAGCTAAGGGAAATGTTTCCCATGAGGGGAATTTCAGAGAGGTTAAAGGGGAATCACCCTGACAATAGGGAGGATAGGGGGGGGGCATGAAATGACATAAAAAACTGAGAGAAAAAGACAAAGTGGAAAGGGGGAAAGTTTCAGAGATAAATAAAAGGAATAATAGGGCAAACTTGAAACTGAAAACCCCCAAAGAGACTAAGGACATTAAAAAAGTATTTCTTCCCGCCTTTAGGGGGGGTCAGGGAAATGGGCAATCGAAGAGTGGAAAAACAGAGGGAAAGGGTCCATACATAGCTTTTAAGAAGAGGTAGGGGTAAGGCTCTTGGAGACGGAGAGAGTAGGGCCCAGTAGCAACCAGCGAAAAAGGCAGGGCCCGGAGTGACTCCCCCCCTGGGAACCACATAAAAGGTGGAAATACAACCCCACACACACACAATAATATATACTATAAATTATATATATATATATAAAATATATATATATATAATTTATTTTATAATTTTAAATATTATTATATATAAAAATATAATAATATTAAAATTTTTTAATGTAATATATAATAATATAATATATAATATTATAATATTTATTTATATATATTTTATATATATATTTTATAATATATATTATATTTTTATATAAATATATATTTTAATAAAAATATATATAAAAATGTTTATGTATGTATTTTAATTTTTATAATAATACATAAAAGTGTTTTATTTCAAAAACAGGCCAAGTGTATGCCAAAAAAGTGCCCTTTGAAATAACAAAAAAAAAACACAAAACAAGGTCCAAAATTCCTTAACAGGTAGCATGTTCAACTTAGTGTATAGCTTTATTTTTAAGTTATTATACAGGGTTTCTGCAAAATCTTTTTTTTTTTTTTTCAATTACAAAAATTTATTACAATGCAGCAAAAGATAAGAAATGCAATTATCTGCATATACAGAAGAACAATTTCCATAATCTTAAGTTCCATGACAGAGGGACTCGGCATGAAAACCCCAACACTTTCCTAATATCACACATATAGACTTCTTCTATGCGTTTGTGAAGGAAAACACTCCAAGTTTGAATAAATGATGTCTATCACAGAAGTCACACTGGATATACTGGACAAGAACTGAATGACCTGGAGTGTCTACCAGGTATTTTACTGACCACTAGAGCTGCACAATGTGAGAATGCATTGATTAGACAACCATGACTCTGTGTATAGTTTATTATTTAAGCTATCATTTGGAGATTCCTGCATTTTCATATCTTACCAATCTGTTGTAAACAAATTTTAAAATTGGGAAAAAAGTTTGCTGACACCCTGTATATTCCTCAATAACATACCTTGTGGATAATCCATACTGTTTTATTTCCTGTACTGGTATTGTACTTCTTTCCTGAAACAAATAAATATAAATCAGGTTTTATGGGGGAACAGAACAGTAATTTGAAGTAGAGTATAATTATTTAATTCTGACTACAATCAAACTCTCCAGTACAACATTCGATGTTGATGTACTGGACAGTTAGGTGTGTTAGTTGTAATTCTGTAGCTTCTTGTGCAAATTCTACTGTTAAGGTTTATCCCAATGGATTTTTTTTTTGTAGGTACTTCCCAGGAAAAAACCCACACCTGTCAACTAACTTCTGGGTATTTATTTACTGTTCAGTAACAGGGGTAGCAGATTCAATTCAGTGGCCTTATAGAATAATCCTAGATGCCTGTAAGGAAGATGAAGGGTGAGAGCAGAGAAATTTATTGCTCACCAGCAGCCTTAGCCAGGGTTTATTTGCTCACCAAGGCCTTGGTCAACATACTGCTTAGTGTCACAACAGCCTAATGCTTTTGCCTGAACCCTGCATGTGAAATAAAGATTTAGTACTGTTATACAGTAAACTTTAATATGAATAAAAATGCTATTGGATATGATGCTATTTTTGGCAAATGCAGTTAAAAAAAAAGTGCATCCAACATAGAAAAGCTTGCACAATGAAGGCCTTTTCACAGGCTTTTCAATTTTGGATGCATTGTTTCAATCACATTTACAAAAAATCACAATTTATAAAGCTCTATAAGGAGTTATGGTATATAAAGGTTATCACAAAAATACCTTAAAATGATACACATATTACTGTACCTATTTTCAGTTTTCAAATTGCAAAAATCAAGAACTAGAAGCATAGACTAACATTATTCATGAATAATAACCTACACTTTAATAATTATTATTATAATAAAAAGAAGCATACACTTTAATAAGTAAACATGTAGCATATAAAATTAAATAGTATCTGCTTGTTGATACACCATTATAAGAAGACATAAGCTTTTTCAAGAAATCTAAAATTTATTTTAGATGGTTGTGTAAAACTGTACAATAGCACTGAGGGCACATAGGTATTGTATTGCAGTAATACAGTACTGCATTGATTGATTGTTAATAATAGTTTGTAAAACTATAATACCTACTGTAACCTATTTAAAAAGATCTAATTAACAGCTATGCTCATTTATTAGTCACCACTTTTTTTTCAGCTGCATACTTATTAATGTAGCCAACAATTAGTCCAGTTTAGATTATTACTGTTACCCATTTCTGTATAAACAATGTATCATGTGGAAATAAACTATGAATTTGAACTATCTTTATATTGTAACATGATGTACCAAGTTTAGCATTCAAGCAACAATCTAAACCTTGCCATGCATTTTTTTTAATTGTACATCCTAATGAAAAGGCATAGTATTAGAGTACCTGAAATTTTTCATTTTACTGATACATTTGTTTCATATTTATGCACACATTCAGGCTTCCTTATATTCAACCTATGATGATACTAAACATACATAAAACTTGCACTTACAACACATACAACTGTTTTTATGTATAGATTATAAAATATAAAAATCAAATTAATGCTTTAATATCAATTTATCAGTGCATTGTAAGTATTCTTTAGCTCTAGTTTTTATGAACATTTGGCTCAAAACAGAAGAGACCTGGGTTGAAATCCTGAATGGTGAGACATCTGGACAATTACCTAGCACTGAATGGATACCTAGGAAACAGGTAACTCTTGTGGATCACACCCTGAGGGACACCCTAAAAGAAAAAAAAAATGGAAATAAGCCATACTGGCTTTCTAGTATTAACCCTTTGATGTTGTTGCCTATATTGTTAGGGTTATAACTGATCAGTATGTATATATGCCTATGCAAATTGGGACAACCTTTATTTAGGGTTATCCTAAATCACATTTATATAATCCTTTTTGTGGCCATAACATGTGCCTTCAAGACCACTGTACAAAAAAAATGAATTTGACTTCATAATGTTCTGACATTTTTATTCTACAGAGATCCAATCTGTCAATATTATTATCCTTTACTTATCCAAATACCTCAGATGTTGAAGATGGGTGTCATGTAGTGATATTGGTGTGCTTTTTACAAGTATTACAGTTGTGTCTTAAGTCCCTACAACAATGCCCTATCATACCATCAAATAACGTCCTTACCACAAGATTACATCAGTTATATGCTGAATAATAGTTTAAGTATTTTAGGCTGATTCAGCCATATTCTGAATATTCTTATTTTCACTGAAACTATCACAATTATCTGATTATGTATTTCCATGACATATCTTCAGTTGCATCAGTCGTTATTGCTAGCGGTCATTGGATACAATTCCTTGAGTTTCTTTGTATGCCAGCTCACAGACCATAAGCTCCATAACTGATTAATTTCTCCAAACTTCGGTAGCTTTCTTCAGATACAAACAGATGTATTGTTAAAATCGTTCTGTACGTTTATAAAGGTAAACTACAAGTGTTGCAGTCTTCATATACTATATTAATTTATCCAAAACGCTACTACACTTATCCTTCCACACATTATATACGAAACTGCGACAACCGTCCTGAGGGAGCCTGTGTTTGGGGTTGAGTCCAATATGGCCTCCCTCACAGCAAAACCCAAGACATAGCGAGAAAAAACCTTTCCTATACAACAATCGTGGCACCTTCAATATATGTTACTCGTTCTATTATCCTGCCAGTACACCTATAATATCTGGGACCACACACCGAGGAACATCAAGACCAACAAAAGCAAAAGATGAACAATACTTACAATATGTAAGACGAGTGGAGATAGGTTTGGGTGTCATGCTGTGCAGTAGTTGCGGGAGCGGCCGCCAGAGCGCCGCCTCCCACCCAACAGTCGGCCATTTGCATCCTCGGAGTAAACAAACCATCAGCTGACCCGACCTCTACACCCACCTCCACATTATTCCATTCTACATCATCACCCTCAACGTTTATTAGACGGTTGCGCCCAGTAGTCGTAAAACTGGATGCGATGGAGAGCTGGGGTTTTCCATGGTCAGGCAGAGATGTGTTGAGGGGGGAAATAACGCCTGTTGTACCAGTTGAAAGGATTTGATTCCACAAGCCTTCAAGCCCCGCCCACTGGATAGTGTAATCTGTGGTGACTATATCTTGCTGCTACTTGCATTGAAAACTTGCAAACAGCATGAAATGCAAGACATATGTGCGGATAGCTAAACGTTCTTCTTAAGTCGCCATACACACTCCGGAAAACACGTTTGTGGAAACTAGAAGCCAGGAGACAAACGGAATGTTATTTTGCCAAGCACCTCACGCGTGAGTCTATTTTTAATTAACATAAGTTTGTAGCTATGAATTTAAAAATCATTTATTTTCCTGAATGCCTTCCACATCCCCCCCCCCGGCGCTGTATAATCCTACGGGGTTTTGCGCTTCCCCCCTTTTTTATAATAATAATAAAATTTCCCATCAATAGAAAAATTGTAGTTTTCTAAACAGTTAGTGATGGAAAAAAAAAATTTTTTAAAAAATTTTTTTAAGGATTGCGCAGAAAAGCTTTAATCTCAAATTTTTTTAAAATACAAATGAAGGGTTCATGATTAAAGAATTAAAGTATTTCTCAACCCTTTTTTGGGTCAAAAAATTTTTACCTTTTTATTCCCCGGTTTTTTATAACCCCTAACGGGTTTCGAGCTTTTCCCCCTTGATAAAAATACATATTATTTTCGAAATTTAGTGGGCTTGTTTAAAGGCTGCCCTTTTTTTAAAAAATTATATTTTTTTAGGGCTATGTTAATATGAAAAATTTGAGTGTTTTTCATTACCCCAAAAAAAATGTTCAGAAATGCTTGTTTTAAATTTAAACCCCACACAACAAAGGGGGCCCGGAGAAGGAATCAAAACCCCCGCAACCTCATCTAGGGAAGTAAAAACTAGGTGAGTACACACACGCAAAAAAAACAAAAAGAAAGAAGGGGCACTGCGGGGGCCCAAATGGGGCCCCTGTTGGTGAAAAGGTTTGAAAAAAACCCACAAGGGTTTAAAAATTGAGACACTTATGCAGATATGGGAATCTTTATTCAGGAAACGTTTTTTGCCACACAGTGGCTTCTCAATCCAAAAAACAAAGAGGAAGGCTAAGGGAAAAAAAAAGGGGGGGGAAAAGGTAATCAGTTTCCCCAACCCGGTCGATGTGTTCAGTCTGAACCCCCTCGACCCCCAGGTTTAGGGGACTATTTTCCTCTTCCCCCTCCTCTCCTTAAACCCCTTTCCCCTTTTTATTGGAAATGGAAAAAGCCACTGTGTGGGGGAAAAAGTTTCCTTTAATAAAGATTCCCATATGCTGCTTTAAATGTCTCAAAACTTTACTGGCCCCCCCTTGGGAGGTTCAAGTCCCCAACTCGCTCACGAAAGAAAAGGGCACTGAGCAGGCCCACTGGGCCCCAACCCGGTCAGGTCTAAAATCAAAACCCCCTACACGAAATTTTTTGGGTTAATGAAACTCAGAGTTTGTTCCCTCATCCACAACTCGTTTAAATTAAAACCCGTGCTTTCCAATACCTTTCTAAAAAACTAATTTTTTCCCGCTTAAACCCCCTTTTCTTTCGGTCCTGTCCCCTTTGGTTTGATTTTTAAACCCAGTTATTTACATCCCCTTTTTTTGTTCATCCCCTTTTCCCTTTATAAAACCCTTTAATCAAAATCCCCCAATTCTACCCCCCTTTTAAGAGTGAGATTCAAGGGCCCCAGTCTGCCCTCGTGGAAAGGGTTTTGATACATGGGATCAACTTGTCATTTTTTGGCCCCCATTTAAATTTTTGTTCCTTTTTTTAATACGGTTTACCGAACTGGGGTAAAAAATCAAAAAGAGGCAAACCAACGTATATAGATTTGAAGAAAAAACCTGAGGGGCTCCTTTTTACTTTTTGAATGAAACCAAGAATCAGGTTTTGCTATATGCGAACACTTGCGCACAGTTTTAAAGGGGGTTTGATTACTGCTAACCAGAAATTCCCCAAAAACTTTTTCGAGTTTGGTGATTAAAATTTAAAATGTATTAAATTTTGTTTGTGTCATGGTTATTTTTTCTTTCCAACCGGGTTAGATTTTTTTCATTTTTCTATTCTAAACTGCAAATTTCCATTCTTCACCCCTGCTCTTTCAGATCTTGTGGAAAAAGACACTTGTACAGTTCAGGCCCTTTATTAAAGGAAACGTTTCGCCACGAGTGGGTTCTTAGGACTTTGTAGATGAATGGTTAGAAAACCGAATTTTGAAAAATTAGAACATGTGCAACTTTTGGGGTATCTTTATTGAGGAGACCACATCGACTCAAGGTTGAGGGACTGATTACCCATTTCCCCCTTTGTTCTTAAAGTTCCCCTTTGTATGGCGGGATGAAGCACTGGGGGCGAAACTTTTCCTCAATAAAGTCCCCAAGGTTGCATGTTCAAATTCCAGGATAAAAGAACCCACTCGTGGCGAAACGTTTCCTTTAAAAAATGTCCTGAATGTCATAAGTGTTTTTTCCCAATCTTGTGGTATGGTATCACTATCCCCATTCCTTTCGGGATCTTCTGTGGCCTTTGTTGTACCCTTGTCAAAATTTTAATTTGACGGTTTTTGGTGTCGGCAAACTTGCTTTGACGCTATTTTTTCCCCTCTTTGGGTTTTAGAAAGCGTAAGCAAAACACTAAAACATATTTTTTAGAAAATGTTTCGGTCTGGGACCTTGATCATTCTAACATACAGAGGTAGAAAGAATTATTATTAGGGGGGGAGAGTGAGTGTGAGCACGTGACCTGAGGAATGTCATAAGAACATAAGAATGGAGGAACTGTAAAAGGCCAGGCCCATGCGAGGAGGTCCTTATCAAAACAACCTCCTATATGAGGAGGGGTAGACGTGAAATCATGTGACCCCTGTTTTTGGGGGGTTTGGTGCTGCTTAAGTATATGTATCCCAATTGCTTTTGAAATTTTGTAGTTTCAGTGTGCTTTCTTTGTGTCGGGACGACGATTAGTGAGGCTTCCAGGCACCGTCGGCGTCGAGGTCGGTTCGGTTGGAACGAGTTGGCCTCGTTCCGTTCATCAAATCCCCCCGTGGAGTCTCTGTGGAGGACACAGGCCGTACCTTACATCGCTTGTTAGGGGCATTTCGTGTTCTTCAGGCGGACTGCAAGATCTCTGCTGTTCGCCTACATATTTTTGGGACAGAACCCACAGGGGGGTAGTGTAGACGCCTGCTGTAGAAGGTAGGTGTGGGGCGGGGTTTCGTAGTGAGGGGTTTTTATATTAAAAAAGGTATAAAAAAACCCACGGTTGTAGGTAAGACACATATGAAAGTTTGGAATCTTTATTTCGAAAAGTTTTTGCCCCACACAGTAGGCTTTTCAGTCGAGTACAGAAAGTTGATAGAAGCAGAAGTACTAGAAGACGATGTAACAGTCACACCCCTTAAAATTTTTAGGTGGTCAGTCCCTCAGTCTGGAGAAGAGCATTGTTCCATGGTATTGAAACAATAGGGATGAAGTTGACAGGATGGAGCCTTATATCGCGCCAGGAGGTGAGGACGGAAGGTCACTAGGAGAGGTAAGAAACTAGATGTTGGGAGGACAGAGGGTCCCCTCTCTAATCCAGCCGTTTCACTAGTAGAGGTTTTTTGGTTTTTTTCGGGGGGGGAAGTTGTTTGTAGGTCTGTACCAAGATACCCTTGTGTTGCAGTGTCAGACAGATTGAACATTAAATTTGGTATAAATTACCGACAGGTAGGTTAGGTAAGACACATATGCAACAGTTAGGAATCTTTATTTCGAAACGTTTCGCCTACACAGTAGGCTTCTTCAGTCGAGTACAGAAAAGTTGATAGAAGCAGAAGATACTAGAAGACGATGTAATCAGTCCACCCTTGAAGTTTTGAGGTGGTCAGTCCCTCAGTCTGGAGAAGAGTATTGTTCCATAGTCTGAAAGAATATGGAGTTGAAGTGACAGGATGGAGCCTATATACCGCCAGGAGGTGAGATGTAGGCCACTAGTAGATGTAAGAATGAACATTAAAATGGTATAAAATACCTAACAGATGTAAGAATGAAGAATTGAGACACTTATGCAACACATGGGAATCTTTATTGAAGAAACGTTTCACCACAGTGGCTTCATCAGTCCAATACAAAGTAGAAGTGGAAATATAAACACACATGCAGTATAATGTGATCCTTTATTGACTATGTTTCGCCCACACAGTGGGCTTTTTCAAGTCACAAACAGAACTACCTGGGGTGGAAGGAACGATGGGCATTAAACATCTTCAACACACCCAGAGAAGACACTGCCGAGAAGAGATACATAGTCCTCCCCACCAACTCCATTGCCAAACACGTTTCCAACATCTTTTCCAATACCTCATTTCAAGTATCTACCTCCACAACCACGACCATCAAGGACATTACCAGTGATAGACAGGACAAGCTTCCACCCTCTGCAGGGGTATACATAATCCCTTGTAATGACTGCAACAAGTTATACGTGGGCGAAACATCAAGGGACCTCCAAACACGTATTTCAGAACACCAATATCCAAGCAGGTCTGACGACACAATGAATGCCTGCGTACAACACCGTAATTCACACAACCATTTGATAAACTACAGAAACTCAAGACTTATCGCCACAGAAGACAACACCCAATACTGAAGAATCCTGGAATCATCACTTATTTCTATATCCGACAACTTCAACCAGAATAGTGGCTTCTACAACATAGCTGAACCACTTGCCAAGAAACTTCTTCATCGCTATCCCACATGAGAACACTGTGGGGGGTCTGCTCACAAACTTATTCAATCTCCTTTCCAAGCTACCCAAGATTTTAGACTCTATAACCGTACTCGGTACATCATCAGATGCAGCATTCTCCACCTGACCTCAGCATTCTGAACCTGACTATAAATACTCGCATTCCTTCCACCCCAGGTAGTTCTGTTTGTGACTTGAAAAAGCCCACTGTGTGGGCGAAACGTAGTCAATAAAGGATCACATTATACTGCATATGTGTTTATATTTCCATTGTG